CCCCAATACGTCCCGCGCATGCAACCCTTCGTCCGTGGTTCTCCAAGTGCCGTCGCCGTTAAAGCACCGCGTGTCAGCAAAGGTTTTTCTGCCCTTTATTTATTTAATTGAACTACGAAACGCCATTTTCCACGAGCGCAATCCGAAACCTGTACACCATCCTCCCCCCTCATCTCTCTCTCTCTCCGACTCTCCATCCCTCTCCGCATCCTTTGCTGTCGAACTCGAGCAACGACAACGCGAGCGAAATTCCACCGAGAGAATTCCACCGAGAATCGAACGTCATTTCGTTCGGATACACGGAGATGCGGCTCATTGCGCGGTAATTTCATTGCAACGGACGAGACCCCTCGTTGTACGTTCGTGGCCCCCGCCGAATTTGATTTATCGTGTAACGTGCCTGTCTCGCGAGAACATAGATCCGCTCTTTGTGCGTTTACAGTTGCGGAACATCTATCAGTTTCCTAATATAATTGAGCGCATTATTAATTCATGTACAAGCCAATTTAACAAAAAAAAAACCTGTTTAATTACAATTGAATATACATTATTCATCGTAACATAAAATAAAATTTAATAAAGTTAATTGTAAAAGATGTTTGCAATTATCTATCTATCGCCTCTATTTTTAGTTTCTGTACATATAATTGTGTAATTTTTAATTATGGTTAATTTGATGTATACGTAATAATTTGGAGCTAATTTTTTATTCATAAATAAAATGTATTCGATCAATTTATCAAATTCGAATTTCGAGCAGCAATCATCAAAGTATTTTTAAATTGTTGATCACAGAGTTACAGATAAATTCATGTAACAAACGGTTTTTCTCTTCTTTTTTTTTATCACTATATTATTGTTATGCACTTATTGCGTTTTAATTTCTCGTTGCTTATAAATTTTAATTCTAATGTTAAAGCACACTATTAAGAATGGGTATAAAATTTGAAGACGATGGTATCTCAACGTTTAGTAGGCAATGCAAATGTTTACACACATGGACATTTTACCAATAAAATGTCCATATAATTGCGATGCATTACGTTAAACTACTCTATACACCGTAACAAGTAGAGAGCGACACGACAATTCTTATTATTACAAATCCATTACAGTTGCGGCGTGATAAAATTGGATGCTTGACAATTTTGCCCCAATTGCGAATCACTCGATCCGATCCATTAACCGACAGAGAACGAATGCTGTTAAAACAGACAATGTGTACCGAAATTATAACGCGTCATGCATTGTTATCGAGTGTCCTTCAATTATATGATGAAAGCGGTTGTGGCATTGGAAGGATAGTGATGGAGACCTTTTCTACAACCGACTTTGTTCAACAGCTGACTTTATCACTTTCACGAAAAACTGGGAAAACTTGGAAATATTGACGAATTGCTGAAATTATATGATTCTTCTTGATACTAAGATAAATGTCGCCATTAAATTCAAATCTTTGAATCTCAGTAATTTATCTAAATTAATATCAAACTTTATAAGTTACTGGTTAATTGCATTACACTGAAAAAAAACTATTCATTTGAACGATTCTAAGTATTCACTAAATTTAAACATATGTATTTATTTGATACAAAAACCATTAATTTGTGATATAACTATTGTTTTTTTTTTTTTTATTGAGTAAATATTTATTTACTGTAAGTAAACATTTACTTAGTATTATTTAGAGAAATATGTATAAAGATTTAGTATTTTTTTCCAGTATACAGCACCGAGAAATCGCAAGAGATTAAAAGTAATAATATTGCATTTTTGCACTCTCTAGACATAATTTTATTTAATTTTATTCAGCACGCTATGTATGCGCTATGCAGTATTGAAATAAAAAATCCACTGCGTCTGTAATTTCCAAGACTGAAAAAATGAACGTCTTAAAAAGATTCAAGAATTCAAATTTCTAATATAGCACGTTTATGAAATAAGATATTGTTGTATTTGACGCGTATATTCCGAAGCCGAGAACTGAGGCGTGATCCTCTTTGCCAAAAGTCGCACCGCTGTCATTGCCATTGTCGTCGTCCGCTCGCTTTCTCATTCGTCTCGACGGAGACGCTCGATTATCGCATGCCCCACGACCCGACCAGCGCCATCAAACTCCCGAGCCGCCGAGATCGAAGATCCGCGGACG